TTTTTTTAAATCTCTAACACCTAATATATTGGATCTGACAGTTGGTACTCCAGCAAATGTGTGCTGAATGAACACATAAGCAGAAAAACAAGGTGCATTCTCAAAATATTTATGTAGATTTTAGAAACAAAGCTACATATACCAGTAGCACTAAGCCTGCAATTATCCACTAGAAACACAAAGCAAAAATTGCCATTACAAGTGTATGATCTGAAATGGCTTGCTAGTCACACACAAATCTTTTTAGTCACATCCATTACTAACCATCACTTTTAGTAGAATCATCACTCATAAAACAAAAAACAACAATATTATATTCTCAGTACAGAAAGGCACTGCATTTGGAGTCCTGTTTATTTATTAACTCCTATCGTGGCTGTTTTAGGTTTAATTAAGATTTTGAACCTTTCTTTATTAAAGCCTTTAATGCTCATGAAAAAATGATTATTAATTACTATTAGTAATAAAAAGTATTACTGCAAAAGCTACAGATTTAATTTCATATCTTGCTTGCCACTGTAGGACTCTGGTTCTGGCAAAAGGTTCATGTACTAAGATATATAATCAAGATACAAGGTCTTTCTTGAATTAAGAACTATTCATTCATAGGTAGAAGCATAAATAGGACCACATGCTTTATTACTTTGACCCTTTAGCTTTATCAGAGATATGTTCACGCTACAGTTTTCTCGTCTGTCAATCTTTTATAGTTACAATTATGAAAAGTTGTTTTTGTAATCTCTCACCTTCAGATTTTTGTACACCTTTCATTTCTATAATACCTTGTCTGCCTTCCCAGGTAACTTGTTTCTCCATTACTTTCAGAGCCCCAACAAGATACCTTTCAAAGCCTGCTCTTACCAGGCAGAATGCTCCAAAGTTGTCTATACCTCCTCAATGCCCAATAGAACAAAAAAGTGATATGAAAAGTAATACATGCTAATCAAGCAGTGCCTGGAAGTGACATCCTTAGTCAAGTTTCCCAATACAGTGTCCCATGGGTAGGAATGTATTTTGGGCATATGATGCCCAGATCTCTCAAATTGTATAATTTCATAATTCTACTCCTATTTGCTATCTTCCTATCCTAGTGAAAATCGGCAAAACATGTAGGTTGAAGGAGAGGCTTGAATGTAAAACTGACCTCTGTCAAACTAGAAGATTCCTTCTAATTATACACACACACACACACACACACACGAAGGCAGATACAGCTGGGAGGCAGAAATGAAGAATTACTCCTGGCATGGCAATGGACTCATTTTGAGAGACACAACCTTTGGTGAACTCAAAGTTCTGCCTAGTATTTCTTTTTTTCCTCCCCTGAGCAGATGGCGCATAAGACAAGAAACAGACTTATGTAAAGTTCTCACACACGTTTGACAAGCTGATATCAGAACACAGCTGCCTAAGACCTCTACTCTGGATTCTTGAGGGTGTTGAACACATGGTTACAGTAAAAGGGAGTAAAAGAGACAAAGCAGAATTATAGGGGAAGGACAAAGCAACAATACTTCCAAGGCTCTTATTAGCTTTTACTAAACTGCTCTGAAGCGTCAGGCAGGGTGCAACCTAGAATTAGTTATATAGCTTTACTCATATTTATTATTATCTCCAGGAGTTTTTCCTTATGGAGTCAGGAAAAGACTACCCAGAATGTTGTAGTAATGAGAATTAGAGGGAGTGCCTAGTGGCTCAGTCAGTTAAGCCACTGACTCTTGCTTTCAGCTCAAGTCATGATCTCACAGTTCATGCATTTGAGCCCCATGTCAGGGTCCATGCTGACAGTGCAAAGCTTGCTTAGGATTCTCTCTCCCTCTCTCTGCCCCTTCCCTGCTCTCTCTCTCTCAAAATAAGAAAATAAACTTAAAAAAAAGGGGGGCAGGGGCTTAGAGCGGCAACTGAATGGCTCAGTCGGTTAAGCGTCTAATTTCCACTCAGGTCATGAGCTCACAGTTCCTGAGTTCAAGCCCTGCGTTGGGCTCTGTACTGACAACTCAGAGCCTGAAGCCTGTTTCAGATTCTGTGTCTCCCTCTCTTTCTCTCTGCCCCTCCCCCATTCACACCGTCTTTGTCTCAAAAATAAAACACACAAAAAAGTTTTTTAAATTAAAGCTGGGGGAGGGGAAGGAAAATGAAATGTCTCTTGACACAAATATCCCATTAAACTTTGTCTTCGGGGTACCTGGGTGGCTCAGTCAGTTAAGCATCTGACTTTGGCTTACGTCATGATCTTGTGGTCCGTGAGTTTGAGCCCCACGTCTCTGTGCTGACAGCTCGGAACCTGGAGCCTACTCAGATTGTGGCTCCCTCTCTCTCTGCCTCTCCCCTGCTTGTGCTCTGTCTCTCTCTTAAATGTAAAATAAAACATAATTTTTTTTTATTAAAAAAAAACCTTAGTCTTCTTATATATAATCTAACAGGTTAAATATGTGTCATTTTTGTCAATATTCCTGGAACTTAATATACTATGCTAATTGTGAGTGTAGTATATGCTCCCTTTGAAAGATAAAAGCAAGAATTTCCCTAGCACTTTTACACTGTATCTCCCTTAATTTGGTTAATTTGGGCTTACTAGAAGACTCCTAGTTTACCTTAATTTCTTTTTATAAACTTTGGAGTGGGGAAGAAGAAATATTCACTGAGTACCTTAGTATATATCATGTACCCTACTAAGTACTTATATACATCATTATCTTTACTATGCCACCTTATAGATGGGCAAAATAAGATTCCAGTAATTTGCCCAGGGTGACTGAATCAGTAAAGAGCTGATTTATTATTTTTATTTTTAAGAGAGAGAGAGAGAGAGCAAGACTGAGGGGAGTAGGGGGGAAAGGGGCAGAGGGAGAGAGAATCTCAAGTAGGCTCCACACTCAACGAGGAGCTCAACACAGGGCTCAATCCCACAACCCGGGGATCATGACCGGAGCCAGAATCAAGAGTCAGACGCTCAACCCACTGAGCCACCTGGGTGCCCTGTTTTTTGTCTTGTTTTGTTTTGTTTTCTTTTTGAGCAGACTTATTATTCAAGTATGGATACTACTCTGAAACCAAAGATAGTTCATGGTCTGGTAACTAGTCTTACTGTTGGATGCATCTTCCCTTAACAAACATCAGATGTTATGAGAACTGCTGAATATCAGAAAATAGACTAACTACCCTACCCGATGGCTCATTCTGAAATTTAATATAAATATATAGTATACATAATATACATATAATAAAACCATAAAAATTCTTCAACAGACTCAAAAACAGTTAAACTAAAGGAAGAACTGGGGTGCCTGGCTGGCTCAGTCAATAGAGCATGCAAATTTTGATCTTGAAGTTGTAAATGTGAGTTCCACGTTGGGTGTAGAGATTACTTGAAAATAAAATCTTTTTTTTTTTTCAACGTTTATTTATTTTTGGGATAGAGAGAGACAGAGCATGAACGGGGGAGGGGCAGAGAGAGAGGGAGACACAGAATCGGAAACAGGCTCCAGGCTCTGAGCCATCAGCCCAGAGCCTGACGCGGGGCTCGAACTCACGGACCGCGAGATCGTGACCTGGCTGAAGTCGGACGCTTAACCGACTGCGCCACCCAGGCGCCCCGAAAATAAAATCTTAAAAACAAAATTAAAGAAAGAACTAGAAAGACAAAAGTTATCATGGTTTTCAGCTGTTTTAAAATAATTAAGAATCTGAAATTACATTAAT